AACCCTAAGATCTTATGCGTCCGGCATAGTTCTTTCCAAGGTTGGGGCAAGGGCTGACGCTAGAAAAAAGACAAACATACGATTTATTCTAAAGACGACAGGTCAGAAATGAGGAAGGTGATAGTTGAGAATTCTACAAGTAGAAGAGCAAGTAGTGGAATTGTTCGGAGAGAGGTAAATGAAAGGTGGCAATTTCTGAGAAAGAAGTTGAACGGTATGCAATTGAGCATTCAGATCTTCTCAGGCCGATCAGATCGATCAGGGCTAGATTATTTTTGATTTTTTGATCGACTACTTACACCCAGCCAAACCTAGATCAACCCATCTTCATCTCGAAACCAGTCGATCCCTACTGAATCGTCTGTCTTCCATTTCCAACACTTCATTTCTTACCTGTACTCGACCTGTCGCAGCTAGGAACCGAGCACTCGCGATTGAGCTTTCAGATCTTTTCAAGCCATCGGACAGGGCTAGACCGGTTCTGAGATGAGAATAAAGCTACATTTTTCTCGATTTGGATGAAAAAAAAGTTGAATGGTGCCGCATAGAGAAACCGTACAGGTGCAGCTCTTGCGGAATCAACGGGTTTTTCGAAGTGTAACCATAGCAAGGGCTGCTTATGGCTATTGCCCATTAAGAAAAGTATAAATTGGAGAGAAATCCAGAAAGTAATCCGATTTTTTTCATATGCAGAAACAGTACGCTTGGCCAGAACTGCTCTTCAAAGCTCACCTCCATGAAGGAATCACTTGTTGTTCCTGATCTGCAAACGGCATTCATTTGTTTGCAGCCTTCCGCGTTATCCGGTAGCTCTCTAAAAGCGAGCGGATCACAGTTAGGACAGAAACCTCTTTTGAGCAATGGATCTGGTACTCTCAAGTATTTAAAATTACTGGTGAAACTGACTCCATAATAGCATTCGTTTGATCGGGACCTGCGGCTGTTAGGAAACCCACGATAGTCGGGTCACAAGTCGAACATGCTGAAATGGATCATTCATTCATACAAAGGAATGTCGCGTTTCTATACTGATATCGATGATTTGCTCTCAATAAATGCACAACCGTCTCGTCATCGTTTTGAAAAAGCAGTTCAAAAACGTCTTTCTTGAGATGCCCCCGCACTCGCGCTCTGAAAAAAAATAGACCTCTAAGGCGTAGTTCACTTATACAAAATGTCTTTTAAGAGTCACCCTTGATGAAGACCTATCCTCTCACACGAGTTGCTCTCATCACAAAGAATGCATGCTAGTCCTAGGCGGGACTTGATCCAAATAAGCCTATGTGTTTACTGCACGTCTTATGTTTCTGGAAACTATTATAATAGTGCTGATAAGTATAAATTCGTGAATGCACGATCTCCACGGCACAGCCGAAGGAGTTTCAATAAACATGGCTATGTATACTCATTGACTGCTTTCATAGTCCAATTGCGACAGCCCTTCGACCGACCGTGCTTTCATAGTCCGCTGGCCGGTCAGCCGGCGTACCAGCCGAGGCAGTGTCGACGAGGTCGCGTCGCGCTCAAGCCCCTTCCAAGGGCTGAAATAAAGAGTGGCAAGATCAAAAATCACTTATACAAGCCCCTGATTGTTTGGTTTTTGATCTTGTTCTTCTTTGTTTTCAGCCCTTCGAAGAGGCTGACTGACAGTCTGCCTCCCTCCTCCCCCCTAGCACTGCCTCGGCACCCCGGCACGCCGTCACGCCAGTACGCCGGCACGCACGCGGATTATGAAAGCAGCCATTCGTCCCAGTTTTCTCATAGACTTACCTTTTAAGGACGGAACCGCTCTTTACGAAGCAACTGCATCAATCTTCATTGCACAATTGAATGGCATGCATTTGTCTATAGGACAGGTGGTGGCGGTTAGGTGGGATATATATATTTTAAGCCTCATTGGATTTTTCGTGAAAATATTCCAGCATCACTGCTACATTGGCATCGATTGGCGCCGCGTCCATTCCCAGTGCTGGACTTGTTACTATGATGATCGTCCTAACGGCCCTTGGGCTTCCAGTGAATGACATCTCGTTGATCATCGCTATCGATTGGTTCCTGTAAATCGCATCAGATTTTTCAACTACCGCTATTTTTGGTATGATTTATAAAAACGCAACCAATATTAACTTATTGCCCAGGGATCGTCTGCGCACATCCGTCAACGTTGTTGGTGACGCATTCGGCTGTGGATTCGTCTACCAGCTTAGCAAAAATGACCTGGATGAATTGACGACGAAGAGCAGCACTATAGATGAAGAACAGCCTCACACGCCACGCGCTAGTGTTAGTTCTTCCAATTCTTTCCCGATGCCATGACAGATCTTTTAACAATTGCGGATTAAGGACAAAGTTTTTGGCATTAACCAATCCAGTCTGAGGTATGCGCCACGCACTCGACTTCCATTCAGAATAGTAGTGGCGTTGTGAATGCGTGCATGGCTTATACAATGACTAGCGGTGGTTAGCCGGTGGTCAAGTCAGTGTTTTTCCTTCCAGACGAGTTTGCTACCAATTAACCGAAGTCGGAGGAATGGAAGGCTTGGTTGGCCCAGGCAGATATCGATCTGGATTTGAACCCTAGACGTGTGAGATATTGCTCCACTGCCCCTACATCGAATCCGCCCCCAATTACGGATATCAATTACAATTACGGATAGCAAATCAAAATACTACTCCTCGTCTGGCCAACATTCCTACACAACAATTTTAGTGTAATCAGTTTTATTTATAGGCAAGCGATATAAAGCAGATCAGGGATACTTTGCAAAACGGCACCAAAGAGAACAACAGGGATATCCTCCAAATCTAATCACGCTCAATTGCTCTTATTGCAGAAGAAAACATTGAAATCGCTCGATATGCACGACGAACACGTTCTCAATGCATGATACTTCCTCGGTTTTTCTATCTGTGTTAGGATTACCAAGATATGGTTTGAGTGTTTTTGTGACATTAGACATTGTTATAGTGATGATTATGTGGTTGTAAACTGCAACGCAGCTTTGTCAAGTTGATGTAGAAGAAGGTTCAAATGAGACTTGAAGGCACAGTCCACGTCAATTTTGAGGTACCCATTTTAAGTTGAAAAAAGGAAGAGTTATTGTAGAGTAAGTGCATCGGTGGCGAAGAAAGCGAAAGAAGTACGTAGCGTACATCGCGAAAAATAAGGCTCTCCAGAACTAGTGGAATTAGAGGTTATACGAGATTACCATTACGGAAATGGCATGGAAGGGGTATTCGGACAAGATTTCAGTTATTGCAGTAGCGCAAAGCTTGCTACATCAAGTCAAAATTGTCTAAAACTGCCTTTCACTGTCGCCATGTGTCACGACAAGCTGTTTAAATTTCCAAAGAGTCCCTTGAGATACTGTGGGTATCCACATGGCATCCACACGATAC